TGTTCCGGAATGACATTTGATTTAACTCCGGCAGAATATCAGTTTTCTGGCTACTTTGTAATAACACTTTCATTGTACTTTCGCCTCAAGAGAACTTGACAAGGGCTATGGCAATGTTATTATTCAGCAGTATTCGTCCCAACCAGAGACAGTGGCTGATCCTCGCTTTTCTCAATGCTTTTTCTAATTTTCTTTTACGTATTTACCCAAACCACCTGAAAACTTAATTTATAGTTAAGTGCAGCATTATTAAGATACAGTTTAGGTATTCTTCTGGACCCAGCACTCTCAATGGAGAAACAGATCCCAGCCATGGCCAGGTCTGCCTTTTTTCATCTTAGGCAGATCACACAACTTTGCCTCTACCTTGACAGGAAGTGCTTAACAACAGTGGTTCATGTGCTGGCAATCTCAAGGATAGGCTACAGTGTTGCAATGCTCTCTACATGGGGCTGCCCTTGAAGCTGCGGGAAGTGTAAAACGCAGCAGCCAGGCTGGTGTCTGGAATATCAAAATATGATCCTTTATCACCTGTCCTGGCATGTTTGCACTGGCTGCTGGTATGCTTCTGGGCCAAATTCCAGGTGACTTTGTGTCAGCTTATGCTGACTTTAAAAGCCCTAAACTGTTTAGGACCTTACTACTTATCTGAGCCCCTTCACGGATTGCTGCCTTGTCATGGTGAAGGGGCTTGAGTAATTCAGAGAAGCTATGGGCTATGCTGTGCAGGGACACCCAAGATAGACAGGTCATAGTGGAGAGTTCCAACTAAATGCGATCCGCCTGGAGCAGGAACTGGGAAGCCACTCCAGTATCTTTGCCAAGAAAACTCCATGGACAGAAACAAAAGGCTAAACCGTATGACGCTGGAAGATGAGCCCCTCAGGTCAGAAGGCGTCCAACATGCTACTGAGGAAGAGCGGAGGACAAATACAAGTAGTTCCAGAGATAATGAAGTGTTGGGCCAAAGCCGAAAGAACACTCAGCTGTGGACACACCTGGAAGTGAAAGGAAAGTCCGATGCTGCAAAGACAAATACTGCATAGGAACCTGGAATGTAAGGTCTATGAATCTTGGTTAGCTGGTTGTGGTCAAACAGGAGATGGCAAGAATAAACATTGACATCCTGGGCATAAGTGAACTAAAATGGACGGGAATTCAGATGATTATCATATGTACTATTGTGGGCTAGAATCCTGTAGAAGAAATGGGATAGCCTTCATAGTCAGCAAAAGAGTGAAAAAGCTGTATTGGGATACAATTTCAAAAATGAGAGAATGATTTCAATACAAATCCAAGGCAGACCTTTCAACATCACAGTAATCCATGTTTATGCACCAACCACCAATGCTGCA